TGTTGTCTTCCATGTCCAATTGCTTTGTAAAGATCTCGCTCCGCTAATCTCCTTAAAATATGCAATTAAGCATACGAAACTAGAAAGTACCCGAAATGGTCATAAAATAACAAAAAGGAAAATATGCATGGAAATTAACTAAATTGTGGATGAAATATGCTAAAATAAACTATAAAAAGAAGTAAATAAAATGAAACTATCAATGTTGGTTATCAAATAATGATTGAAAAGCTACAAAAATTGGTACCCTTTGGTGACCGTTTTTACCTATAGTAACAGTTTTTATGGGTTATAGTTACTACAATTAAATGTCACCATAAATGACCTTTTATGATGCAACCTTTCGTTACACATTAAACGAAAAAAACTCATCATAAAATGTCTATAGTAACAATTTTTTGCATGACCAAAGACCAGTTTTGTACTAGTGAAATATGAACTTTAACATGAACTTTTTATCTTAGATGTTTCATTAGACAGGTTATGTGCATCCAAAATTCAATGTTTGTTTTGATTCTCTTCGTAAATTACATCTAGTGTCGTCTGATTAACCTAGGTCTCGATTTCATCTTGTTCCTCATCTAATTAACCTAATTCTCGATTACATCAATACCCCATCACACCTAGTATGCCTAATCAAGTAATCAATAATGACAAAATCTAATCATACCTTTCAATATGCTGATGCGGAAGAATTGAGAGTAGATGACAAAATCTAATCGACTTTTCCGTTACCACAACACATGGAATAAGAAGTTTTCTTTCCGGAAGTATTGCCTTTAAGAGCTTCATATGTCCATAATTGTGCATGACACATCGTACACACAAATGTCTGGTCACCATGGTCTAAGTAATCTGTTTAATAAAAACATTTGTAAAACTTTGAAATAATTTAATGTTGCAACAAGTAATAATTTAAATATAAAAGGGGATTATAAATAAAAATTAATATTTTCCTTTTGCAATACCTGATATTAACTGTTGACGGATTTGTTGATCACGTAAATCTTCATCTGATGTTAGGTCCAAAATGGGTATCTGAGATATATTTGGAATCTTTCTTTTTCTATTTAGTTTTCTGCATGATAAATTGCTGGAAGAAGCTTGAGTGACTGAAGATGAATTCGTAGCTCTCATGTCACCGGGCAAGGTAGAATATTGTGCATTTACTAACAATAAAAGTATGACAATTAGTATTAAACTTATAAAGTAAATATATAAAAAATAAAAAATAATAAAAAAATGAATACATATTATTTTATGTGTACCATATATAGTAACAAACAGTAAGTTGAATATAAACGTAGTCGTACCATTCGAAATGTTGGACAACGGAGTTCTTGTAAAAAAATCAGAAGCATATTGAAAATGTTGTTGATCACGACCAACATTACCTATCAATAAAAGATAAGTTCATATAAATATGTATTAATTAGGGAACAATTAAGAAACATGTAAAATAACATAGTATCTTATTACACTATTTAGAATAAGTTTATATGGATACAATTAAATTAGTAAGATGCATGATATATATCATATACCGATTGGTATGGTGGACATGTGATTGGATCTTCTTGTATCCAAATAAATTTTCCTTTCTTTTCGTTTATCTTTAGCCTTGTTCGACAATGGACTGTCGATATAAATATTCAAAATAGACTGAACCCGTGTTTGCTGATATCCACATGACAAAGTTGGGCTGACATTTTCATTGTTACCAACAATATTGACAAACTTGGTTGATGGAGGTGTTTGAATGTTGGTAGTTATATTAGAAAGCACTGTAAAATAATATAAAATATGTAAGTTATAATGCGGATACAAATAAGTGTAAGTTACATATAATAAGAAAAGTAAAAAAAAAAAATTAATGATATAATTAGAGATGATATATATATATATATATATATATATATATATATATATATATATATAAGCTATTTATAAAATAATAATGTTTAATTAATTGCAATGTAGCAAAGAATGTAGGTAATACATAATAATATTTAAGATCCAGAGGATTGTGTGAGATTAAAAATATAGTATAAAATAAAAATTAGTCTATCCGATAAAAAACGATATACCATTAGATGATGTGGACATATGATTAGATCTTTTCTTATCCAAATATAATTTTCTAAGTTTTCTGTTCTCTCTAGCAGCATCAGACAATGCATTTCTAATATTAAAAGTTGAAGTAGATTGGAAACTTGTATGTTGATATGCGGATGATATATTTGGATTCAAATTTTCATTGTCATCGCGAATATGTGTACAATTGTTTGAAGATGATAAATGTTGCCGAGAATAACCTACATTGAATATATAATAATAAGAATGGCTAATTAGAAAATGCAATGATTATATGAGATAAAACGTCAGAAGATATAAAACAATAGTTGTTCAACAGCCGTTACATATAAAACATTACTGAATATGAAAGTAAATTGAGATGTAGATAAAGAATTACCAAATGACAAGTTGGACATAACATTGGATCTTCGTTGATCCAAATATAATTTTCTATATCTGCGCCTTTGTTTATGTTCGTTTGAATCCATATCGTGTTTGTAGCTTAAGAACAAAAAAAATTATGTAATAAAAAGTATATTGACAATAATTTCAATAAAATTTAAAATTGAAAATTATAATAAACGGAGACATTAATACGATTAATATATAGTAGTTAAAATTTGGTAATATTTAAGAATTGTATACTTTACATTAATAAAAATCAAGACTTCCAACAAAGAAGTGTATATTAACATAACAACTAAAATAAGATTTTTATCAAAAAACTTAATTTTAAAAGCTTTAGGAAAATATAGATAAGCATATATATTAATACTTGCATCAAAAAAATTTATATTCATTTTGATATAACAAATAAAGAAAGGATTTCATAAATAAAAAAAATAAGAAAAGAGAAGGAAAACCCGTTTTTTAGATGAGGCCGTCAAATGTGTTGCCAGAATGTCGATTTTTGACCTGGTTTAATATAAGATTCAGCACAAGAGATTAAGAGATTAATAAGACAAAGATACGGAAAGATTCATTGAAAATGACAAAAATACCCTTATGTAAAATGGATATACGTTCATTAAAAAAGTTAAGCAAGATTCTTTTGTCTTCTTACATGCTATGCTTAATGAAACCACTGAAGTTGTCAAGTATATTTATATGTATTTTTTTTAATTGGAAGTAGATTGAATCTATGCAAAAACACATTTAGGTCAATATGGACCAAATGTGCAAAATAGTGAACATTTTATTGTAAAAATGACGCTTTTGACCCTTGGTCATACATCAATCATAAATAGTTGGGGACAACAAAAAGTATTAGTATTTTTCAATTTAATTAATGAACATCAAAACAATAAAAAGTCACAATAATAGTGATAATAGATCATTCCATTATTTTTCCTGTTTCCATTCCATCACACAAACCAAATATAACCACTTTCAAATAAGTAGGAAAACACATAAAACAACACAGTTGAAAAGAAACATGCATAACAGTTAATTATTTTTTTAATTAGATTGCTGTAAATGGTTTCAAGTTTGAATCTCAATGTTGAAAGCAAGGACTTAGGATGGAAAACAGGGTATAGTAGTTCATTATCAAAGAATGGTCAGTTGTAATGTTCTGCAATTCATCATCAAGTTGGACACACAGGAACATAAAAACTGTTAAGCAGGTACACACACACATACACATTGATAAACATAAACTGATGTTAAAAAAACAACGCACACATTAAAAAAAACAAAAAAAGAAACAAAAGATAAACAAAAATTTGAAAGTAGTTTTTTATAAACTTACAGAAATGATTGAACTCTGTGATTGTGATTGAAAACACGATTTTCCACTGTGATGATGCAAAAATTTGGAACACGATGTTGTAATAAACTCAATATTTCAAGAGACAGTGATAATAGATGAATTAGAATGAGTTATACATAATAAGTAATTTATAAAAATTATTTTTGGAAAGGATATCAAAGTTTGGTTTGAAATTATAGAGTATTCCAAAATTTTAGCTGTCATGAATCAATCTTTGAAACGTTTCCCAAGTTAGCGTGATATTGAAAGGGATTGACCAAATTTGTTCATGATTATAATTTCTCTATGTCATTCTAATAGTAATTCCTGCATATTAGGCACTAACTTCTTACATTATAAAATCAATTTAAAAAAAAAACGTAAATGAGGATTCCATAAATTAAGCTACTATATAAAGATAGAAAAATTAAAATTCATGAAAACAAATATCTTCCTTTTTGAAAATAAACATCTGTTGCATCATATCACAATTAAAAGTTTTGGAAAATTGTAATATACGACTATACTATTGTTATTTATAAAATTATTATTTTATCACTTATAGTGGCCATAGTGGTGACTATATTTTTGTTATTTATAACATTATACAACATTTCTACTTTTGATATTTTAAGTTGTCAAACCGTGTAAAACACGAGCTTTAGGCTAGTATTTGATATAAATAACAAAATTGACTATGCAAATTATGAGATTTAAAATGTAGCATAAAATTACTTATACATCAAGTCAAATTATGTATAAGAATCATGGACTGTAAAAGAAATTTGTGAAGATTTAAATATATATCCAATAATAAGAGTAAAAAATTCTTTGTATTTGGATGACCGGTTAAATTTTGTTGTAGGATGTGAAAGAGACTACTAATAAAAATGCCTTTATTAACCGAAATATAAAAGACGATTATGAAGAAAATATGAATGTAATGTCCAAATATAAAGTGCAATATAATGATCCCATAAAGAGTCAAATCCAAGTTGCTTATAATAAAAGAAAAAGTAAAACCTAACACGAATGAATATTCATAGTGTACCAAACACTAAATATTAAAATCCCAAATAAAATGCAAGTAAAAGTGCCAAATATTAAAAAAATGTCTAAGAAAATAGCATAGAGTAGCAAAGAAAGATCGAAGTTATTGTCTTCATAAACAGGATCACTTTTCAACTTTAGGAATCAACAATTTTGTTGTTCCACCAACTTTGCCATCTCCAATACGGGGTGCATTAGGTTTCGTTGCTGATTCATAAACGTCATCATCAAGATCGTAAACATCTACAAGTTTACGTTTGGCACTTGTAGGCGGTGAATTGAGGTTGTTGACTGTTCTTGATGATATGCCAGAGGGAATATTCGACACAGGAGTATTATCAGCAGTGTGGGAAGTATCATCCTTAAATAAAAAAAGAAATAATGTTGTTTAGTAATATAAAGGATAACATATATAAGAGTAAATGATGTAGTAATGTAGTTTACCTTACAACCCACTGTTTCTTGAGATGCAAATTCTGAGCCAATTATATTAACAGATTCAGTATCCATGTCCTATAAAATTAATGATAAAATAAAACAGTATGTTGGGTTAAGGAATCTAGGAAATAGTATTTTCAAAATATGTATGTTTTAAATTAATTAAATTGGTGTATAGTTACCTGTTCAATCCTACTCTTTTTCTCAATTTTCTCCAAAGCAGAAATAATGTCAACATTATCCGTTATTTTGGAAATGTTGTAAGAACGACCAAATCTTGAAACATTAAATGTCTTGACAACAATCTTGAAAGCCAATTTTTTGTCGATCATGGCATTCAACTCAATAGGAAACTGACTTGTATTGCCAAACTACAAAAATATATTAATAAATAATAACAATTAAATCAATGTGTGAAAATTAAGTTGTATTTAGCAAGATGGTATTGCATATAAGAAACATATACCCTTTCATATTTTGATAATAAATCAGCAGCAGATAATTTCAGAATATTTCTGACTTCACGATCAAAGATCGTAAGACTCACAACACCAACTAAACCTTGAACTCGAACTTTGATCATAAAACTAAAAAACACATAAAAATTTTAAAAGTTTAAATTAAATATAATAATATTGAAGAATAATATACTAAGTTAATATTTATTACACACCTTGGTTCAGCAGTAATAAGTTTGTCCTTGCACTTTTCATTTGTACAAACCATAATCTCTTTCTCTTCTAACTGGTCCAAGCCATTGACCGTCTCATCTGAAACCTTAACTATTTGAACCTTTGACTTGCAATGCTTGCAAGCATTATAATACCAGTTCCGTGTATCTTCAAACATCTTTATTGTGCCAAGAATTACCGCACAACCTCCCTATGATATTAGGTGTATTTAGGTGTATTAAATATTTAAGTGTTGAATTAACTAAATAAAAAAAGAATAATTCATATACCTCGTTCAATTCGTGAATAGCGGATATTTGGTGAAAAGAGTTTTTTTGAAGAAAGTCATCATGTAGTGAATACATGATGGATGAACCCGAGGTACGTGAAACCGAGGAAGTCAAAGAGCCTATTTTGCTTGTAAACTAATTAAGATAATTAATGTTAGATAGTATAACTCTATATTATTGAAACATTAAAACGTAATGAGAAATCATGTAGAAATTTCACATAACCTTTTTTTGAAAGTTGTTATCTCCTCAATGTCATCTTCAATATAAAGTTTTGTGGCCAAGTAGGTGTTATTGACATAAGGACGATCTGAAAATGAAATTTAATAATTTTCCACATGTTAACAAATTCATATCATAGATATGTTATTAATATAAATATTACAAATTAACAATTTACTAAGTAAGTACCTCGGACAAGCTTCAACTTAGCACATTGAATAAGCAATACAAAATGACAGGTATGCTTAGAGACATATGCATTAATTTTATCAGCATACCTTCCCCATAGGGTAACAAAAACTTCATGTCCTCTGTAAAAAATGATGAAAATTACTAAAAAAATATATAATAAAAAGAGTAATTATAGGTATAAAAAATGAAACCCACTCTAAATCCTCCATTTTGAATGTGATTTTCTTTTCCTGTCTATCCTTTGCAGGTTCCAATGGAAAACACCGGAAAACGTTTCCAATAACATCTATATTATACAAAAGGAAAAATGTAAGTATGTTTTTTTGTGGTGTAAAAAATGAAATTTAAATATTTTAATCCATTAGGAATGGGTTGAAAGGAAATGCACTAACCAAATGAAATTTTTGGGTTTATTGCATTATCATGAAGTTGTTGGAAGTCTGCAAAATCAAAAGAATTCTGTGGCCCGCAAAAATCTATGCATTTAGTTACCTTCGTGTTATACTGAAAATAGAGTTTGTGTGGACCGTCAACAAACTTTATAGCACCTTCATTTAACCCTAATGTGGGTTTATGAATGTAGTAATCACCATATTCTTCAAAAGATTTTCCTTGAAGCGATGCAAATGGTTTGTCCACATTACATTCAATTTTTGAGCCCTTAAGATAAAAAATCAAATATTAATTAATAAGCATACAATAAATGTAATGATATATAAAATATGTAAGTTATAATACACATACATATAATTGTAAGTTAACATACGTAAGTTATAACATACCATTTTATCCATCAATATCATGCCAATCATACGAAGTTGTTGATTCCATGAAGTTTGTCTCCACAAACGGATGACACGGACCTTAATGGTATAGTCATCTTGTGAGAGAGCCAACTCACTTATCATGCTAATCTTCCTGTTTTCCATTAATCTATGCAAGAATGTAGTAATGAACATAAGAAAACACCATTTTAATTGCATAAATGACAAAACATTTAGGTCAATCATGTACCAAATGTGTAAAACTGTCAAATAAGGTTAGAGAGAAATCATAATGACTAAAAATTATTAATTTACAAATATAGTAGTTTACAAAGGTATTAAACATAACATGAGTAATCCGAAGATACCAGAAGTGTCCCACAACTATAATCAAAACATACGATGTTCAACAGGCTCACCATATTGTAGGGGAAAAAATTGTATTCGGTATCTTCCGAGGAGAGTTACTTTATTTGAAGTTGTTATAAAATGGAATTTTCATTTTTTTTACATAAAACAGTAAAACAAAGTCGTTTCTGCAGATTGAAGATATGCAAATAGACATTTAGGTGAATATGGACCAGACGTGTTAAATAGCCAACAGATTTGTAAAAATGACGTTTTTGCCCCTTGCTCATAGAAAAATCATAAATAGTTGGGGACAAAAAAAATTATTAGTATTTTTCACTTTAATCAATCAACATTAAAACATAAAAAAATCAACAATAATAGTGATAATAGACCATCCTATTCCATATTTCCTGTTTCCATTCCATCACACCAAAAAAATATAACCACTTTTAAATAAATAGCAAAACAAAGTCAGTTCTGCAGCAATGCCCAAAATACAAAATATGGAATAGTAAAACAAAAATATAACCACTTCCTTTTTTGCTATAATAAAAGCATATTTGTTTTGAAAAACCATCCCAATTAAAGCATACCTTTTTTGTAGTTTTTTTTTCTAATAACACCTGTAATAACACTGATGTTATCATGATTCTAAGAGGTATTCAGTTTGTTATCTGCTATGGGTAATGAAACGACTGGAGTTATGAAGAATATTTATATGTTTTTTTTTGAATTGTAAGTAGATTGAATGTATGCAAATTCACATTTAGGTTAATATGTACCAAATGTGTAAACAACCAAGAAAAATGTAAAAATGACGTTTTTGACCCTTGGTCATACAAAAATAGTAAACAGTTGGGGACAGAAAAAAGTATTTGTATTTTTCACTTTAATTAATCTACATTATAACAAAAAAAACAATAACAGTGATAATAGAGTATTCCATTCCTTTTCCTGTTTCCATTCCATCACATGAAACAAATATAACAACTTTCAAATAAGTAGGAAAACACCTAAAACAGCATAGTTGAACAAAAACATGAATAACAATTAATTTTTTTTAATTATATTGTTGTAAATGGTTTCAATTTTGATTCCCAAGGTTGAAAGCAAGGACTTAGGATGGAAAACAGGGGCTTTTATAAGACAATTTATTTCATTCTAAGTCTCCTGTTTAACAAAAGTCTACATAAAAATCCTTGTTCATCTTATTTATTTACAGCTTCAATGTTGCTCCAGAACTTATACATAGAGAGTTACAGACATTTAATCATACGTTTTAACGCCCCTGTTTTCATCTACCACATTTTGATACATGGAATGAAAACTCAAAAGTCAGAATCATGCGTTTTATATTGGATTGATTTAGGAACATAAACAGTTAAACACAAACACACATGAACATAAACAGTTAACGCACACACACGCATACACATTGAGAAGATGTTAAAAAACAACACACACATTAAAAAAAACACAAGAAGAAACAAAAGATAAACAAACAATTTAAAAGTAGTTTTTTTTATAAACTTACCGAATGGATTGAACTCTGTGATTGAAAAGAAGATTTTCCACTGTGATGATGCAAAACTTTAGAAGACGATGCTGTAAACTCAATATTGCAAGAGACAGTGATAACAGATGAATAGAATTGAGTTATACATAAAAAGTAATTTATAAAAATGATTTTTGGAAAGGATGTAAAAGTTTGATACATTCCTTGCAAAAATTACGTGAGTGAAGGAATGTTTGAAAAGTTTCTCCAAATTAACGTTATTTTTAAAGGGATTGACAGAATTTTGTTGATGATAATTAAGAAGGTTTATTTGAAATTAATACCTCCCTTGCAAAAATTACGTGAGCTTTTAAGTAGTTATTGACTTTCTTTAAATTCAGGGAAATTGATATATTGTATTTTCATTACGGGTTTTTTAATTTAAAAGCAAAAAATTAGAATTTGCCAAGTGGAATTAAAGGTAATTGGAAAAATAGATAAAATGCCATGTGGCATAGTGAATAAGGTGATGACATGTGTCAATGTTATTTTCTTTTATTAGGGTAGATATATTAAAAGTTAAATTTCAATAATTTTAACTATTAGTTATACGATTTCATAAATTTGATTTTTCTACCAAATATGACAATGTACTTTCATTTTATACGCGAGTAATATTTTTGGTCATTTTTCATTTTTGTGACTTATAATATCAATTGTGTTATTATAGCAATTTACTTATAATCTTGTGATTTTTCTTAATAATTATATTCATATTTCACGTAAAATATAAATATATCATCTTTTAACAATCTACTTTAACTTAACAGATTTATTGGTGATTTATCACATTTTTAGATTGCTATTTCATAAACTTTTGATCAATAATAAAGTATGATGCTATTTTGTATATAAAACTTGAAAATCATCAAAACTTTAATAAAAACACATATATTCTCCCCCAAATATTAATACAATAAAAGAGGGTCCGTAGAAACTACATTCGATGCGTGGTCTTGATCTAGGCTTGGTTTTGGTGAAACTTGTGAGAAACAACATTTAAACATCTTGTTGAGATAAAACAAACCATTTTGAACTTTGAAACATTTTTGGATTTTTTTTTGTAATATTTGGAATGAAAGGGACTATTTTTGTAAGGATTTAAATCGAAAGACTGATTTTAAATCTTGAAAAATAGGTGTAAGGCTGATTTGGTTAAAATATACAAAAGGAGGGACTGATTTGGTTAACTATACAAACAATGGGATTGATTTTCAAACAATTCCAACAAAGGACTGATTTGGTCAATCTAATACAAATGGTAGGGGTTGTTCTGTTCAAGTGGTTAAACACCATTAAAAATGGGGGAATGCCATTGTCTTCATCAGATTGAGCAAAGGAACAGACGAACGCAAGCTAGGGAAGAACGAAAGCAGAAATCAAAGGGTTAGGGATTTGATTCTCATCTGATCGGGAAGGAACAACGAAAGAAGAAATAGGGAAGCACTTCCACTGCTTGACCGATTCGAAGAAGGAGAAGGATGAAAACAACGATGGTGGAGTGTGGTTCAGTGGCGGCACAATCCAAGAGAAGAGTCCGTATTCATCTGATCGGGGAACGATAGAGGGATTGGGGGAGGTTCGAGGCTGCTTAACCCGATGGAAGGGAGGCGGGGAGGGTGTTTGTGGTGGTGTTGCTTGATAGGAGGAGAAAGGGGGTAGCTCCGACGCTTCTCTCTACTGCTTTCGTTCTCGCTTCAGGCTATGGAGTCGAGTAGCACAACCAGTGATCAGAGTGTGTTTGGGTGGAGCTTCGATCGTCATTCACAGGTGGAAGAGGGCTGGAAAAACTAGAAGAGGAAGAAGAGGCTATTGCCTCTTTGTTTTCACCGGAAAAAGTCCACCTCTGGTGGTGATTTATTGGTAGTAAAATGTAGTAAGTAGGGATAGAGAAAGCAGAGTGATGAGTATGAGGGAAGCTTTGTGAGTTTACAATTAATCTAGATTTGCATATGCTCCGATCTCCTCAGATTTGAGTAGATTTTTAACATGATTTTGCTTTTATAAAACAATACTTTTGAAAGATATTATTGAGTACTTTGCAAGATATACTTTGCAAAGATATATACGTACACACCTACGCTTTTGCAAAGGCTCAAAATTGGACAAGGAACCATTTTAAAACATAAAACCAAAGAACTATTATTTTTTTTAATCAGATCTTATTATTTATCGAAAAAAATTCTAAAAATATAGAAATTTATAATTTCTTATCTTCTTTCCATTGATATCAAATTTGATATTTTTTTTTTCACTTTTTTTATCTGTTCAGATTCACAATGTGAAATTCACAATGTGAAATTCACAGTGTGAATATGCACAGATTCACAGTGTAAATTTGCACAGATTTCACAGAGTGCATCTGTATGCATTCACAATGTGAATCTGAACAAATTCATAATGTTAATCTGAAAAGATCATTTTTTTAATCAAATTTGATATCAATGGATGTAGGATAAAAATTATATATATATATATATATATATATATATATATATATATATATATATATATATATATATATATATATTTGATGAAAAATTTGCTCTAAAAGTTGAGAAAAGATTGTTTCCTTGGTTTTAAGGTTTAAAATTGTTCCTTGTTGAACCCAACCGTACACATGTATGTATTTGAAGGCTTAGGAAGATTTTTGTGCATTCATGAATATTGTACATAACACCATATTTAAAATAGGTTTTCAAGTAGTTTTAATGGTTATTAGAAGCTATTAAGAAAGTGCACATGTTCGGGCAACGTACTTTCAAGTTTTAGTAAATAAAATGTCACTTGATTCTTGTGAAATCATACCATCTCATAAATTTTTTATGATAGTGTCTTCTTATTGTCCTGGCTGTGATTATTCCAGAAATGCAGACGGAATAAATTCCGATATAAGAATCTCCGCGAATTGGTGTTTAAAGTTTCACGATTAATTGGCTTCAGATTCGACAGATTTTACGAATCTGATTTTGGTCAAGATTAAAAAAATGTGATAAAAATGAAATAAAATAATAGAACATAGTCTGAGTTCAAAAACGTGTTTAAAAGTGATTTACGAGGTTCGTAGCTATCCCAAACGAAGCAGTGCACAATTCATTTCAGGAAAATCAAATAAATACTGATTTTATAACTTAAAATGAGCGTAACTTCTTCATACGATCTCCGTTTTGGACGTTCTTTATATCCACGAAATCAGGAGAACGTAATCTATTCAAATTTCTTATCCATAACTCTCAACTAGACTTAATGCAAAAAATTATTTTTTTAATATCTCAAATAAATTTAATTATTTGTGGTTTTTGATTCGATCTTCAACGATAGATGGTTTGAGCAGTTTGAGATGTTCTAAAAGTAATTATGAATATAATATCTTTAATATAATTTATAAACATAAAGTACACATCAATGGGTCTTTAATACATAATGGTTCGCCGTGGTTTGACCGCCGAACTCTGACCAATTTTTACCAATTGTTATAATATCAAACCACATATGACAACTCACCACAGTAATATGAACTGGAGATGGACGTTGATGATGAAGAATCTTTTCAAAATGCTTTAGTGTGGTTAGCCAACAGTTTTACATGCTTCCACAACCAAACTATCGTAAGAATCAACAGTTCACTACAACTCCTTTTAACCGCAATGACAATCCACTAAACAACCCTCCTCACCACTCATCTCAACCATCTTGATACTGTAGAAACCCTCCATATAAACTACAGTCTCAAAACACACCGTTAATGCTTACCAACTCCACTGAAGCACCACATAAAGACAAACCTGCTAACACCACAGTTGTCACCGAAGTGAAAAAAAACGAAGTTCTCAAACGTCAGAAGTGTCATAAGGAAAATCATTTTTCAGGAGATTATAAAGCTAGTGTGGTAAAAGACAAATCATACTATCTGAGAATGGCACAAGAAATGGAGGTAAAGGACAAAGAGACGGTATATGTGGCTCATGTGCGAAGAGATCATCAATTCTGGTCATCTGGAGATGAAGATGAAGAAAATGACAAGAAGTGAAAACAAGGAAAACTTTGTCTCGTTGCGAGGAAAGGTAATAACAACAAAGATGGGTCTACAAGGGTGGAGAAGAACTATTGCTTTATGGAAAAAGGAAGGGAGCATCAACATCATTGAATAGGTAAAATATATGATATAGTCCAATAATTACAACATGCATGATTTTGAACCTTACATAGAAAAACTTATATAATTGTGTGCTGATATCCTTCAGATTCTATCAAAGCCTTAGATTGAAAGAACATAGTGACCAAAAAGAGTTGTACCACTTAAGAGGAAGACTAAAAGACAATAAGCTTAACGTCATTATGTTAGAGAGAGATCTATTGTTCGAAAAATATGCTAGGTTGCTTAGTAAAACTCAGTTAGATATTGCTTTCAATCATCAGGATCCAGCCCGAGCTGAAAATGTACGCTTAAATCTATTAAAAGAAAAGCTTTTTAATAAAAGTAAATCAATCGAAAATCTCGTGAATGGTGGATCTACTGATAAGACCTATGATTGGGGTTGGTCAAATGGCTATTGTAACGTCGCAAAAATACCAAGTAAAAATCTCATTTTAAATAAGTCAAAACCATTCATTCATTATCTTAATGACAATCAGCATAATAGTGTTCTCAAAACATCAGAGTAATTCATAAATATTCAGCGCGAAACCAGGGGATGCAGTGCAATGAAGTTGGACCCTTCCTTTTGAAACCAGAAGTATTTAAAAACATTCAAACATAAACCGTAAACACAATGCTTAGTGAGTTCCCCAAAATACCACATACCGTACATATCATTGGGCCTATCCTTCGGGTATATTCCAACCCAACATACAATAATGGGCCCAGCCATGGGGTTTCTTTCAACCGAACATACAATCATAGGCCTAGTCCTGGGGTATATTTCAACCCAACATACAATAATGGGCCTAGCCCTGGGGCCCAACCCCGGGGTATATTTCCACCCAACATACAATATTGGCCCTAGCCTAGGGTGTGTTTCAACCCAAGCATACATGAAAGAGTCACAAAGATAGTTAACATTCTACATAACACAATCAAATGGGCCGACATTGGTGCATTCGACCCATAAGTATAGTGAGAAGACTCACCTCAAACAATAACCAGGTAAAACACACACTTGAGCTGCTACTATCAAAAGCTCCTCACTCTAGACATAACCAAAACAACCCCAACTAACAATTATGGAAATGTTCCAACTTAACAGGTGCAAAAATAATAGGGCTAACCCTTATTTGGGTAAAAGACCATTTTCCCCTTCCAAGTCTTAAAACCCTCACAATTAACCAAAATTCAAGTAGTCAAAAAGTCCACGTCAACCCTTTGTTGACCTACGCGCTACGTAGTCTAGATCTACGCTGGGCGTAGAGCTTCAATCCAGAAAACGGGCCTCAATTAGGCTACTCGAGGTGTAGCCTGAATTACACATGGCGTACTCCCTGAGGTTCCAATACTCATAATAAGCACTTACTTCATTAAGACCTTTCACTCAAAGCTCATATATGGTTCCTAATAGCTCCATAATGGATAAAGTTTCCAATTTTATCCATTAGGATGGTCCAAACAACCAAGATATAATCTTTAAGTCTCAAAGGGACCAAAAATGCATCTTTCTCAACTTAATCCATTAAGTCCAAGTCTCCAACCTTCATATCTGAATCAATATGATGTTTAGATGGATGAAGTTTTCAACTTTATCCATAACAAGGTCATAAACTTTCAAGATCTAAACTTTATGCACTAAAGTGACCAAAAAACTGACAAATATGAAAATGAACAAGATCTATTAAACCAACGAGCAAGTTTGAAGCTTTTTACATTCAATGGTCCAGAAATAAGGCAAACTTGTTGGATCTATACTTGAATCCTTCTTCTCTAAACTTTGCCACCAACATGTTCTTCAAGATTCCACCTTCCAATGGAGAAATAAGCTCATAAATGATTCCAAAGCTCAAAATAAGTGAGAGGAGGATAGGGTTTCAAGTTAGAGG